GTGGAATTGTAACATAATTTTGCCGATAATGTGTAACATATTCCATAAATGTAACATATTTTTTTTTGTCTAGGATTTTTTTAACATAGCAGGTTTTATTCTTATTGCACGAAACCAATTTAATAAAAAAATTATTTAATTTAATCAGTTCTGACCCCTCTTGACAATTTAAAAAGCTACACTACAATAAAAGTCAAAGCAACATATTCATAAATATTACGTATTTGCTTCACGAAACGGGGAATTCCCCCAACTACAGAGGGTTCCCTAGAATTTTAAAAGCGGGAAACATTGAACTTTACATGAAATTGATAATCAGTGGCGTGGCGACTGCAATAGCAACTCCAAGACGAATTTTGGGGAGGGGCATTGCCTTTAGATATTCCCTTTTTAGCATATTTTTTAGCCTCCCCCTGGAGCCGCCCTTGGGCGACTGCATTGCTAGTAAGATTTAAAAGACGTTATCATTTCGTACCTTACAAGGTTAATAATGAAACCTTAATTGACAAATACAGGTACAAAATTTTCCAAATTCGTGACTTATCTAAAAATTTCATGTTTAAAGAATTGATACAGTTATTCTGTAAATTCACTATTACTAGCCTTTTAAATGTAAACGGTGATTGCCGCAATTTTAATGTTACACAGAAGATGATTAGATCAATAACATCGTATAACCACGACGAAGATGGAACTATTGATATTCATTTTGATACCGAATAATTTTGGTCTAGATTTAAGTGACGTATTTTTTTACAAAAAAAAAAAAAATATAAAAGAAATTGTAACATAATTTTTAAAAACAATCGATAATTTGGCAACAATGCTTGATAATGTCTTCATAGGCTGGTAGCAACACTGCTAAGAGACATTAATGGTAACTTTCACTTACAGTCAGAGCTTGTATATTACAAAAAAGTCAACAGCCTGTATCTCATAAATGACAAAACCTACCACATTTTTTTATAGGAGCCTTTCGTCTTGAAACTAAATCGAAGCAAATAGACAAATCGTCAATAACAATATTTCAGATTACGTTGGAAATACCCTGTATAATACACGACATAAAAATCTGATATGTCCAACAAATGACTTTCCTGTCTAGTTTCTGATTATTTTGAAAAACCTGTTGTTTCACCCCTTTAAATGTTAAGAGGATGAACTAATTAATTTTCTATTCTTCCTGACGCAGACTTCTCTTCTTGGCGCGTCCACCCTAAGCTGCAGGGGTCGTGGACTGTATCAGGGCTAGTATTTGAATGTTCGGAAATGTAATTTGCGGGTTTGTATCGAATTATTACAAAGCTCGAATACACGACTGTATTTATTCTACGAAATTTGCGGCGATACTGAGTACGCCCGGTTGAATTAAAGATTCTTTCTTTGCCACGCAAATGTGGTCTTTTACCAATTAGGGAAATACTGTCTTGGCGAAGTATAAGTAATGAGAATAATAAATATAAGTGAAATTTTACGTTTCATACTGGATGATAATATTCAATTTAAACTTAGAGATACTAAATAAATGAATACTTAAAAAATCCCAAAAACCGTTCTTCTATGTCCAAATCTTTAGTGTATCGGATCACAACAGACAACTGTTTTCTTTTGTAGCAACGACCTTCATCAACCATTAATGAATAGAATGCACGCTAATGAATTTAATTTATTTTTCTTTTTATATCGCCCATCACTATCAGGCTTACTTTGGCAGGGTAAAAGTGATAACAGGAATGAAATCTATTTTGTATTTAAAAAAAATAACCATATTTTTCTTTTTGCTGATCGGTTTACTTTGCTAGAATGGAGTGAACTTAAAATCTGATGAGCTGATTTGATCTACCTTATAGTACCATGGGGGGGGCTAAGCCTCGCCATGGAGGAGGCTAAGCACCCCCAGCCCCCTCCCTTCTGCCGGCAATGACAATGAAACAACTTGTTTATAAGGATCCCATAAATACCAGCTACCAACTTTGGGAAAAAATAAATAGAGCAGCGGGTTTTTTGATCCAATGATGTTGTTTAATATGAGACGATCTTTTGTGGAACGTGTAGATAAATGCATCGACAAGAATGGAGGACATATTGAACATTTAATGTGACACTATTAAAGTTATTTAGCTTATTTTTTTTTTAAATTTGTTTTCTAAATGTTTTCAATAATAATCATGCAGCTGATCCCTAAAATGCGATATCGTAAACCGTTAAGTTTTGAGGTTAATAACAAGTATACTTTTCTTCTATTTAAATAACGTGGCTTTATTATTCTTTTACAAAAATACCGCTAACTTAAACAGAAAAAAAAATTAGGTCACATTTATGCCAAAAATGTAGCCTATGTAGCGCCCTCTAGAAATTGCATCGAAGTAGGTACCAGATTATGATTTTTGTGCCCAAAAACCTCTTTTTCCAATTTTTTATGTATACATATCCAAAAACATTAAAGTTATTGCAAAATAGAAATCTTAAAATTTAATCTTTAACGCCCTGTATATTCCTTATTAGCAACATTTTATTAAATCAAGTTGGTTTAAATCGTAATATTTTAAAGTGAGGAATCTACCATACTGTTATGCACAATTACTTAAGAACCACCCTGTATATTCACTGTCAATGAAAATACTGAAATATTAGAATATTAAACTTTTCTTCAAATTTTTCTATTACGGTTTAGTTTAGAGAAATTATATATAAAACAAAAATAATAGTTAGTAATAATATTATAGCAACAAATTTTATTAAAGCAGATTTTTCAAAAATTTTAATTTTGCAATTTTTGTCAAATTTCTCGAATTTATGTAACAAAAAAAGTTTTAGAGAATAATATTGTAAAAAACTTTTATTTAAAACATTTTCTTCTCCAAGCGTAAATAACAGAAATATACAATAATGTAGAAAAACGACCTTATATAAAGTACCCCCAGTTATTCCGACTAGGTCCAAATTTTTTTAATTTTACCACAGGATAGACAAAAGCTTAAATTTAAAATTTAACATTTTTCTTGTTTTCCCTTTTTGAGTTATCTTCAAAATTAGAAATTTGACATCTTCTCAAATATTTAGAATTCATTTTAGAGAAATTATATACAGGATAAGAATTATAGAGAATAATACAAAAAAACAACTTTTATTTAAATTATTTTCCTAAAAATTAAAATTTTGCACTTTTTGTGAAATTTCTCGAATACGGAACATTTTAGAAAAATAATTTATAAAATAAAAATTATATAGAATAATATTACAAGCAACTTTCATTTAAAGAAATTTCTCATCCAAGCGTAAATAACAGATATATTATATTCTATAAAGAAAAAAACGAGCCCCTATAAAGTACCGCCAGATGTTCACTCTATGCCCTAAAATCTAATCAGCTCACCTAAGGATGGATTAAAGCTTAAGTTTAAAATTTGGTGTTTTTGTCTATATCTGTTCATGATTTATAGGGTATACAGACACACACAGGCACACACACAGACACATACACAAACATTATCGCGAAAATAGTCAAAACAAATTTAGGGACCCATAAAATGTAAAAATCTGTCGAAAACTCGAAATCGAAAAAAATCATGATTCCTATGCTTTCCATAACTGTCTTCAGACAGAAGAGTAAAAACACATGTAACATTTATTTATTATTTCGGCCTTTACTTGATGAAAATCCATTTTATCTTGAATGAGTAAAGCCAAATTTGGTAGATTTTCACAAAACTTTTATTTTAAAAAATTAAAATTAAAAAATTTAAAAACACTACACATGCCATGTTTCGAAGTATAACTTCTTTTTCAAATGTGACTAATTTACAATTCGGTATCCAATATACAGGGTGTCCCGAAATTAGACGGTCATATTTTAACAGCGTAATCTTCGTCTTAAAATAGGAATAAAAGTTCATATAAACATAGGTCCGAAAACGTTTCGTTTTCGAGATACAAGGTGTTACAAGTGAAGTCCTGATGGCACTTTTTGTAAATATTTTTGAAAATTTCTTTAGTCACCGGTTTTCCAAAGTAAAAAAAAATTAAAATTTCTGATTTCGCAGGCCTACTAATTAGTGTTTATACTTTCGAATAGCTTATCATGAAATTTTCAAATGCTATTTTCTTGGAAATGGTGCGTCCTAGCGAGATGCAATAAAAGTAGCTTTATTATAAAGAAAACATTGGTTTTCCAAATTTTATAGTCAAAAATGTTAAAAACTGTCAATAAAAAAAACTTAGGGCAATTTTACCCCAAGCCCCCCCTAATTTACCCACCTATGAAGATGTTCAATAACTGGGGTTTAGTCCATTAAATAGAGCGTAAAAAGGTGAGCATTTGTACCAAATTTCACTTAGTTATCTATCAGCGTTTAGAAAATATTTACAAAAGAGTGTCATCAGGAGTTCACTATCTCGGAAAAGAAACGTTTTCGGGCCTATGTTTATATAAACTTTTATTCCTATTTTAAGATGTAGATTATGCTGTTAAAATATGACCGTCTAATTTCGGGACACCCTGTATATGCGAAGTAATTTAAAGCTGACCTATATTTTAAAGAATTTACATCTAAATGTATTAATTAATTATTAAAAAATACTTGAGGTTCCGTTAGTATTATTTATAAATATTTATCGGTTAATTTTAATGTACTAATAAATACAGCAAAATTTTTCACACGACTCTTTGTAGTAATCTGCTTTTCTTGATAAAAAATTACAATTTTTAACAAATAATTTTTTTTCCTTTTCTACAAAAGTTTTCCAAAATATTTAATTAATATCAAACTAACCTAAAAATATATAAAATAGCTACTAAATTTATATTTTTTACACCAATTAATACATTTGAGTAACATTTAAATATTTCTTTTTAAATAAAAGAAAAATGCACATTATAAATTGGAAATTATCGAGTAAATAATATTTTTAGAAAAGCGAATTATTTAAAATAGTTTGTTCTGTTTTAAGAACCCTACTGAATTTCCCGACAAAGCGTTTAATAAATATACTCGACTCACCTGTGAGGACAGCGATCAGCTGGGGGAAGGTCCCTTGAAACATATGAAGGAACGATTTCTCACGCATAACTGCGATTTTAAACCTCAGAATCTCAAGCTACGACGTCGACGACGTCAACAGACACAAAAATACCCAGCAAGCAATTTGCCTAAATGACTATTTTTAGGACAATCTGCGTCCCGATCACTGTTGTTTCAAACGCACTATAGATCACTTGGTGAAAGGGCCAGTCGTCGAGGAACACTCGCTTTGTTGTTAACTGACTGAGAGGAACTTCTTGTTCTTGGACCAGCGAAATGCAGTTTCTCGGTGGGATGGATAATCTTCGGCTACCTGTTCATGATCAATAGATCCACCTGGGGAATGAGAGTTTATATTTAAACATGTGATTTTTAATCTTTGTCAGTAAAATTTATTTCAGTCGGTTAGGTTCTACAGAGTGATTCAAACGTGTTTTAGTAAAGGACTTATAATTTTTACCGGATAAAACTTTAAGTAGTTATATTATAACGAACAAAATTTACAAATTTTGATATAAATTATTTCATTACAATGTTTAGGCATCGAAATTTCCCAATAATTACTTAATTTTAAAAATAATAAATTGGGTAAAAATATTAATTAATGTTAAGCAATTTTATTAATGAATCTCCATAGAAATTTTTTGTTATAAAATTAATTATGATGAGAGTAACGTTGGAATATAATTAAAATCAACAATTATTTTTTATTTAGAAAATATAAGATAAGCTATTTCAATAAAATTAAAGTTGTTACCGATTCGATATATTTTTAAAATTTTATATTAATATTGAAAATATGTACGTGCTGACAATTTAAAAATTTATAATGGATGTATTTCATGAACACATATGTGTAAGTGCCTAAAAACGTTCCTAGGATATGAATGGGAACTTAAATTATAAAATACTGCACTTGCACACATCGACCCACTTTGCGCCACCTCAAAAAAAAACTAATAATTTGCAACTCCCTACTTGTCATACATTGCAAAGCTAGTAAAAAATGTTTTCAATGATATAAATTATATCTTATATAGGGTGGTTTTTATAGTACACCACAATTAAAAACCTGTTGAAAAAGATGATGGCATATTTTCTGAAATAAATATTTTTAATTATTTCTAATTCAGAAGTACAAAATAAATTGTTTTTAAATTGTTTTTTTAGATTGTACCTTTTTATTATATTAAGTTGATGAGATACACATTGAATGTACGTGGGCGTCGTTTGGTGGGTTGGCAAGGGGGGCAGTTGCAGGGGGGGCTTTTACGACTTTACAACGCGTAATGGCTGTATGTCACAATACTAAATTAAGTACTAGAATTTAGCCCTAAATTAAGTTATTAATTTAGTATTAAATTTAGAACTAAAAATATTTTTTTCCTTTTGCAACGATACCAATTTTTAGTACTAAATTAAGTATAGGCGCACGCGCATTGACGTATTATTACGAGAAATTAGCACAGAATTAAAATATTCTGTGTAAATGAGACAGGTGAATAAAAATAAATTTTTATTATGACTTTGACACTAGTTGACTTGACAACAATCAAATGCAGCAATGCTACTAAAAACCACGAAAACACAATAAAACCTACAAAATCAAACACAAGCGAAACTTGTCCAAGGCGATAAAGCAATAACAGTTGCTGTGTTGTGAATTGAAACATACAGCAGAAAAAACAGTGTAAATTATATAAATTTTCAGTGGCAAAATGGAAATTAAATCAAAGAAATAAATGGATAGCTGTTCAATAAAAAAAAAACCTTTATTTTTACTTTCCTATCTGTATACAGATATAAGGAAAGTATAGGAACCATGATTTTTTTCGACCTCGAGTTTTCGACGGATTTTTACGCTTTGAGGTCCCCTGAATACGTTTTGACTATTTTCGCGATAATGTCTGTCTGTGTGTGTGTGTGTGTGTGTGTGTGTGTGTGTGTGTGTGTGTGTGTGTGTGTGTGTGTGTGTGTGTGTGTGTGTGTGTGTGTGTGTGTGTGTGTGTGTGTGTGTGTGTGTGTGTGTGTGTGTGTGTGTGTGTGTGTGTGTGTGTGTGTGTGTGTGTGTGTGTGTGTGTGTGTGTGTGTGTGTGTGTGTGTGTGTGTGTGTGTGTGTGTGTGTGTGTGTGTGTGTGTGTGTGTGTGTGTGTGTGTTTGTGTGTGTGTGTGTGTGTGTGTGTGTCTGTATGTCGCATAACTCATGAACCGATACACAGAAAAACACCAAATTTTAAACTTAAGCTTTATTCCAGCGTCTAATGAACTGATTAGATTTTGGGCAGAGTCGGAACATCTGGGGGGTACTTTATAGGTGGTCATTTTTATATTTTATGGAATATATCTGTTATTTACGTTTGGAGAAGAAAATTTTTCAAATAAAAGTTACTTCTAATGTAATTATCTATAATTCTTGTTCTATACAAAATTTTCCTAAAATGGTCCGTATTCGATAAATTTGACAAAATGTAAAAAAACTATTTTTTTATAAAAATTGTTTAAATAAAAGTTGTTTGTAATATAATTCTCTATAATTTTTATTCTATACATAATTTCTCTAGAATAGACCGTATTCGAGATATTTGAGAAAATGTGTAAATTTCGATTTGAAGAAAACTCAAAAACGGATAAAGAAAAAAAACAATAAATTTTAAACTTAAGTTTTATTTGGGCCTGACGTGAAATGATTAGATTTTGGACATAGTCGGAACATCTGGGGGGGTACTTTATGGGAGGCCACTTTTATATTTTATGGAATATATCTGTTATTAATGTTTGGAGAAAAAAATTGTTCAAATAAAAGTTACTTCTAATAATTATTACCTATAATTTTTGTTTTATGTAAAAATTTCCAGAAATGGTCCGTATTCGAGAAATTTGACAAAATGTGCAAAATTCTGATTTTTATGAAAGTTTTTGAAATAAAAGTTGTTTGCGATATCGATCTCTATAATTTTTGTTTATACATGATTTTTCTAAAATGGACCGTAATGAAAAAATTGTAGGAAAAGTGCTAAATTTAAATTTTTCAGTATTTTCGTTTTTAATGAATATCTATAGAAAAATGTTTCGAGGTAGATGTATGTAGAAAATGTATATATTTATTTTATCCTCTAAACATTTATAGAGGTGCTGCAATAGGTTGTACAAAATAACCGGAAAAAGCCTGTAACTAGATAGGAAAGTCATGTGTTGGACACATCAGATTTTTATTTTTACTGCAAGAAAAATTATGTAAGTACAGGTAAAAGCTTAACGTGTATCCCTCTGGAATCACTTTTTAAACATTTGAATCGGTTTCTTTAAAAAAAAAAAATATCTATAAAGATGTCTTTCTAACGAAAAGAAATGCAAATAAAAATGCTAGAAGGAAAAAATATATTTAATTTTTATATTTAATTTATAGAAAGTGAGAAAGTCGATGGACATAAATGTATTTGGGATGCACACTTAAGCTAGACAAACAAAATCATCGAGCAGAGATTAGGAGAATGAGAAATCCTATTATACTCATAAAAAATATTAAAAGAACAATTATATTCTACTGTTATAGGAAGAGTGTGATAGCCCATTCTGCAAATCTTCTAATAACAACACAAAAAACTATTAAGAGAAGTTTGTTGGGTTTTTCCCGGTGAGATCGTCAAATTACCGTATTTTTCGGAGTATAAGACACACCTCAAATTTATAAGACGATTTTTAAAAACATATATTTTAATATTACTTTCGTATCATAATTTTTATTTATTCTTAACATAACTCCTACTAGCAATACGCGGTTCATCCTCACTCTCGGTACTATCACTCTTCTCGGTAATGTCACCGTTCGTATTACTTTCTTCGGAACTATTGTTGTCACTCCTTTTAAGCAACACGCTATCCGTTAATTTTACCTTTGGACCATAAGACGAACCCCAAATTTGAGTCCATTTTGCTGTGAAAAAAATAATTTCTTATAGTCTAAAAAATACAGTATTTGGAATAGGACAAACTTACACAATATTATTGATAGAATCGTAAATTTAAAGTTAAATCTCACACAAGGTACAATGTACAATAATGAAATATTATAAAAACATGATTGGGCAATGAAAGACCTAGTTTTAAAAACTGGCACCAGTCATAGACAAGAAATAGTATAAACTACAGAGATGCTGAGATCTAGCAGAAAGATTGGTAAAAATATTATTTTAAATCTACTTATTGCATTACCTAAATTATTCAGTAGATTTTAAAATAATTAAATTACCGGTGCGTTTACTAATCTAAACAAAGTTTGGAATCAAATCTCTGAGCAAATATAGTTAGTGATTTATAGAGACTCGCAATATTTTCATCACGTTTAGATCGCATAATAAAAGTAATAAATAAAAACGCTACATCACGAAATCTCATAGAATCACATATTTTCTCTGTTTATCAATAAAATAGCTATTTTTATGTACCAAGGTCATTATACAGATGGTAACGCCTGTAGGGCGACAGGATACAGCCAGAGGTACGAGGGCTGAATGTCGCCAGATGAGCGTTAACATTTAATAATGAATGTTTTTATTTTGTAGGCTTGTTTTCTAGTACTGATATGTGGATAATTTGAAATTACTAATTGTATTTTTTTGAATGTAATCTTCCAAACTTAATAACCTTGTTTAGTAATCTTGCTTTACTCTTAACATTCTTCCCGGAACTGTTTTCAAATGGATAGAGGAAGAAAACCGTGACTTTCAAAATGAGTGGGAGATAAAATACTTATTTTTGAAAGGTAAGAAAGAAGGAATAGTTTTATGTCGTGATGTGGTTTTGGGAATTAAACGTTACAACTTGCAAAGACACCACGCTAGAGTTCATTCATAATTTGAAGAAAAGTTTCCAAAAAAGTTTAAACTTAGAGAGGAAAAATTACAATCCTTGAAACAAGCTTTTGTTTGTTAACGAAACACACTTTTTAATGCTATGAACAAGAATGAGCTTGCTACCAAAGCACCAAAGCAATTTTAGCTTGTAAGATGTAACCATTATCAGATGCGGAAATAGTTAAAGAATGTATTGTTACAGTTTGTAAAACATTGTTTTCGCATTTACCTAACGGTAAGCAAATACTAGACGAGGTTTTAAAAACTCCAGCTATCTGATTCAACGATCACAGGAGACGATCACAAGATTTAGCTGCAAATATTTTACTTAATCCTACTGATGAACTGCAACAAAGCAAGTGTTTTAGCCTTGCACTTGACTCATCGACTGATATAACGTCAATATCCTAATTGCTTTTGTTCCTTAAATATGTAACTAAAGATGATGATGTTAAAGAAGATCTTTTGGGCATAGTTCCTATG